GGCACACCTCTCACACGTTGCGTGTCCCCATGGGGAGCTCCTCCGAAGGTCCCAGTGGTGCAGTTCGCATGCGTCCGCCCGACCCATTTCGGCACATCCCTCACACGTTTCGTGGCCCCCTACGGAGCTCCACCGAAGGTCCCAGTTGCGCAAATCGCACGCATCCCCCGACCAATTTCGGAACACCCCTCGAACGTTGCGTGGCCCCATAGAGGGCTCAACCGAAGGTCCCAGTGGGAGGGTCCACATGCGTCTCCCCATCTCACACGTTTCGTGGCCCCAGAGGGAGGAGCTCCACCAAAGATCCCTGTGGCGCAGTTCGCACGCGTCCGCCCCGCTCATTTCGGCATACAGGGAACTCCACCGAAGGTCCCTATGGTAGAGTTCGCATGCGTCCGCCACACTCATGTCGGCGCACCTCTCACACGTTTCGTGGCCCCAGAAGGGGCTCCACCGAGTGCCTTTGTGGCGCAGTTCGCATGCGTCCGCCCGACCCATTGCAGCACACCCCTGACACGTTTCGTGGTCCCATGAGAGCTCCACCGAGTGCATCCATGGCACAGTTCGCATGCGTCCGCCCGACCCCTTTGGGCACATTCCTCACACGCTTCGTCGCTCCATAAGGAGCTCCACTGAGTGCCTCCGTGGCGCAGTTCACATGCGTTCGCAAGGCCTATTTTGGTACACCCCTCACACCCAGACAAGAGGAGGAGGAGGAAGAGGAGGAGGAGGAGGGCGTGGAGGGTATAGATGATGCGGGATAATACCGGACCCGCTTGATTTATACATATCTATAATACGATTACACATTTAGGTATACTATGAGTGTGGTGTGTGAGCGTGCGCATACATACACATGTGCATGCATGCGTGCATGCATGTACGTATGCTACGTTGCTTATTCGTTTGTTTGCTTGCTTGTTTATGTGTGTTTATGCATGTACGTATCTATGTATGTTTGTGTGTATGTGTGATGCATATATGGCTGTACATATGCATGCACGCACGTATGTATGTAAGTATATTTTTATATTTAGTTACTTATATATATATATATATATAGCTATATATGTGTGTTTGTATATATGTATGCATATGTGTATGTATGCTTGTAAGCACATGTGTATGTGTATGAATGTATACATGTATGCATGTACGTATGTCGATGCGTGTATGCGTGTACGTATATACCTGTGTATGTACGTATGCATACGATTGTATATGTATATGTATACGTATATGTATATGTAAATGTACATGTGCATGTATATGTTCAGGTATATGTTTATATATACGTATGTATATATTTATGTACGTCTGTATGTATATGTATGTATGAATGTAGGTATGTACGTATATAGAAATGAAAACAGTTATGTAGAAATGAATGAATAAATGCATGTACGCATGTATGTATGTATGTATGTATGTATGTATGTATGGATTTATGCATGTATGTATGTAGAAACGCATATATATATATATATGCATGTATGTATGTATACATGTGTATGCCTGTTTGCTTATGTCTGTTTTGTAGCGAGACCTCCACGATGTCTTTTCCAGCATCGCTGGTACAATCATGTTTTTCGTTTTCCTTCCTCCAATTTTCATTTCCCTCATTCTCGCCCTACCCTGCGTATTCTCCCCATCCTCCGCAGCTCTTTTTGCGGAGGCTCCTCCTTCGAGAGCCTCGGGGGGCCTCACATAATTTTTTCACGCTTCCTTAAGGCCTTCTGGAGGCCTCCGGGGCGTCCTCTGGGGGCCTCTGGGGGCTTCCTCGGGTCACCCTGCCTCCAACCGCAGTCTCCTTGAACGACCAGGTCACGATTTGGAATGCTTCGGAGGGTGTCTTGTGGCCATCCTGGGCCGATGGGGCTCTCTGATGTCATCTTGGAACCCTGTTGTGCCGTCTTGTGGCTCTCTTGGACTGTCTGGAAGCCTTTTCAAGTGGTTGAGGGGCGATTTTCGAGCCTCCCAGGCGGCTTCGGACGCCCATAAGACCGTCGTTTTGGAGCGTCGGGAAGCCGAAAAGAGGAGAACCCCAAAATTCACCAGAAACCAACCGAAAGTCAATGAGTTTTGCCTCTTTGGGCCTTTTTGGGGGTGCTCTTGGAAGCCTCTTGGGACGTTTTGGAACGATCTTTGGGGATATGACACCTTCTTTGGGGTCGTAGTGGGCCGTCGTGGGGTTCTCCGGGGCCGTTTCGGGAGCGCGCCGGAACGCCTGGAGCCCTCTGGTGCCGTCTTCGGGCTCTCGTGGGCTTCTCCCGGGTCGTCTGGAGGGTTGCCCGAGAGGCCCAAGGTGGGTCAAATTTGCTACGTGGTGGGGGCGTTTTCGGGGTCCCAAGCTATAGAAAAATATAAGAATAATAGTATAGCGCGCATTCCGCCCCGCAACACACACCTGCGTGGCCTGCGCCCAGGGGGACGCATCTTCCTCTGCCTTTGTCCGATAGCAGCAAAAAACACCCTCATACAAAACACCCCGACAAGCAAAGGCGTTTAGTAACCGAACCCGATGAAATAATCGAACAAAGCAGGACTGTCAGGTAAACCGCCCAGGGCCGTTTACTAAACACAATTTGTGGGGGTCGGGGTGGTGTTTCCTCCGATCTGCCCCCGCGCGGCATTCTTCAAAAGGAAAAGCGCCATGTGGCGAACGTCGAATCGGCGGGGTCCCGTTCTGCGATTGGCGGGGGGCATCGCTCCGCGATGAAATTGGTGCTTCGCACCAGGACTCGGCACGCGCGTGGGGTATCGCGCGGGGGCGGCGCAACGGCGTCGCGTCGGCGGGGGTCTCGCTCTGCGGGTGGTGGCTCTTCGGGGCGGAGAGTTCGTGATCGAAACAACGCGGCGCGGTGACGCAACTGGAAATCGGGATCGCGACAACGGGGCGCGTCACGCGCGGTGACGCAGCTCCGCGATTGGTGGCGCCCCGGGTCACCGTCAGGGCACGTTGACATCGGGATCGAGAAAGCGCGTCGCGTCAGGGGGCAACCGCCAGCGTTTCTTCACGTGCGGAGCAGCCTCCAGCCATCTCCTGGGGCCGCCGTGCGGCAGGTTCGTATCGTGCCAACTTCGGCTTTGATCGTTCAACCTTGAACCATCGGCCGTTTCCGAAACGTCAAATTGCTCAACAACGACCGACTCTGGGTCGCTGGCGTCGTTCAACGTTGAACGCTGGCGGCGGGGTCGCCGGTGGTCGACACCACGCGATCCTACCGAATATGTATTCTCACGCGAGGGGCAGCCTTCAGCACGCCCCTGGGGCCGCCACGCTATGCTTTTGTTCCACGTGCGGCGCAACCTCCCGCACGCGCCATGTCCCGCCGAAGCTGTGCTCTGTGCTCTGTACGCGCCCAGTGAGCCCCAAGAAAGCAGGGAGTCCGCCCGGGCGGGGCGGTGGGGAGGGCGTGGCCCGCCCCCTCCGCCAGGGATTCTCGCGGAGGAGGCATCGGAGACCCAAGCCGCGACCCTAGTTGGAGAGCGTCTGTCGGGCAACTTCCTGAGCCGCTCGGAGGGCGTGCTGGTGCTCGTCTTCGGTGCGCTGCGCACAAAAGGCGAAGAAAGCACAGCCCGCCTCTGTGCGTCGCGTGGGCGCGGGCGAACTTAGCCTCGCACGCCTCGTTGTCCGTCCGGCGCTGCGCTGAGCGCTCCAGCCGACGGTCGCCCGCGCCTGACGCTAGCAGGGGGCGGCGTGCGCTCCCAAGGCATCGGCGAAGGAGGGGAGATGCAGGGAAGGAAGGAAGGAGGAGGAGGCTCCTTCTCCTCCTCGTCGTCCTCCTCCTTCCTCCCTCCGACACGCGCCAAGCGGGCCAAGAGCGTCTCAAGGCAGCCCAGAAAGCGCCCAAGAGGCCCCAAGACGGCATCTCATAGGCTCCACTATACGCTATACGCCAACATGCCGCTTCACTTCCTACTCGTCGTCGTCGTCGTCGTCGTCGCGTCGTCATCGTCGCCTTCCTCGTCTCCTCCTCCTCCTCCTCCTTCTCCTCCTCCTCCTCGTCCATGGTCGCGAGATTCGGGCTAATTTCCCGAAGGTGTGTGTCCGCGGTGGCTCCCGCTCCGCGGGCTCGATACGGCGGCCCCCTGTGCCGCTTGGACCTCTGGCAAGTCATTCTGCTCACTAGATCTGCTGCAAACCTAGCAGTAGGGGGTTGTGTGTGGGGGGGGGGGCGCGGCTCCCCACCACATCGACGAGAAAGGCTCTCCAGACGGCCCAAGAAAAGTGTCAAGATGGCTCACACTGCCTGCCTCCAGCATGACTGAGCATGGCCCTACTGTGGCTCCAGGTAGCTGGCAAGATGCTTCCAAGACGACCCAAGACCGCTCCAAGACGGCTCCAAGTGGCCAAAGGGGCCGCCCACGGAGGCCCCCGAGAGGCCCCGTCCCAAACCTAGGAAACATGACTTATGATGTCTTCTCGCCTTTTCGTCGCGTCTGACGGGCCTCCGAGGCCTCACGACGGCACCATAATGACCCAAGAGAGCCCAAAGAGGAGGCCAACATGGCTCCAAGACAACCTGAGGGACTTCCAATACGGCTCCAGAGCGCCATAGGACGGTCCAGAGAAACTGTTGGAGGGCCCCAAGATGCTGTAATAAACGCCAACATGCCACTTCCTGCTCGTCGTCGTCGTCCTCCTCCTCCTCCTCGTCCTCCTCCTCCGACCCCATGGTCGTGAGATTTGCGGGCTGGTTTCCCGAAAGGAGGGCCCGCATTGGCTTCTGCTCTGCGGGCTTAGTTGGAATGTGCGTCAAGTTGGGCTGCATCGGCCCAAAGTCGGAATCGAATCGGATCGGCAAGCCAAGATGCCTAACAACGCCATGCAATCATCGGGCAACATCGGATCGTCGGATCATCGAATCGGATCAGGCTGGCCGGAATCGTCATCAAATCGGACGGATCGAATCCAAGTAAACCATGGGAGGACGACAGCAGCGGCGATGGCGGCGACGACGACGAAGACCGCGCCAAGGTCTGACGGGGTGCGGCGCCTTTCAGCAGCGTCACCCAGCCCGTCGGAGCCTGTAACAGCCTGGCCCTCAGTGGGCCAGGTCCCCTCGAGATGGCCTCGTTCCACGCCTGCAAGGGGGAGGAGGAGGAGGAGGAGGAGGAGGAGGGAGGAGGAGGAGGAGGAGGAGGAGGAGGAGGAGGAGGAGAGGAGGAGGAGGAGGAGGAGGAGGAGGAGGAGGAGGAGGAGGAGGAGGAGGGAGGAGGGAGGAGGGAGGAGGGAGGAGGAGGAGGAGGAGGAGGAGGAGAGGGAGGAGGGAGGAGAGAGGAGAGAGGAGAGAGGAGAGAGGAGAGAGGAGAGGAGAGAGGAGGAGGAGGAGGAGGAGGAGGAGGAGGAGGAGGGAGGAGGAGGAGGAGGAGGAGGAGGAGGAGGAGGGAGGAGGAGGAGGGAGGAGGAGGAGGAGGAGGAGGAGGAGGAGGAGGAGGAGGAGGAGGAGGAGGAGGAGGAGGAGGAGGAGGAGGAGGAGGAGGAGGAGGAGGAGGAGGAGAGGAGGAGGAGGAGGAGAAGGAGGAGGAGGAGGAGGAGGAGGAGGAGGAGGAGGAGGAAGAGGAGGAGGAGGAAAAGGAGGAGGAGGAGGAGGAGGAGGAGGAGGAGAGGAGGAGGAGGAGGAGGGAGGAGGAGGAGGGGGCGAGGAGGAGGAGGAGGACGAGAGAGGAGGAGGAGGAGAGGAGGAGGGGGAGGAGGAGGAGGAGGAGGAGGAGGAGGAGGAGGAGGGAGGAGGAGGAGGAGGAGGAGGAGGAGGAGGAGGAGGGGGGAGGAGGAGGGGGAGGAGGAGGGGGGAGGAGGAGGAGGAGGAGGAGGAGGAGGAGGAGGGGGAGGAGGAAGTTGAGGAGAGGGGTTGGAGAGGAGAGGGAGTTGTTTGTATCTTTCGGAGGTCCTCACACGTCGAAAGTACGTCGGGAATATTTTAGAGGTTCTTGGAGGTCTCTGGAGGGTGAGGTGGAGGATGAGGATGAGGAGGGGTGGAAGGGGGGAAGAGGGAGGATGTACGAGAGATGTACGAGAGCCGAGGCGATCCTGGTACTGGTGCTGCTGCTCCTTCTCCCTCTTCGCGCCGCCTCTTCTTCCTTCTCCTGCTTCCTTCCCCTCCCTTCTCCCCTTCCCGTTCTCATCCTTCCTTATCCACGTCCCTCTGTACACCTCTTCCTCTCCCTCTCCCTCTCCGCCCTCCTCCTCCTCCTCCTCCTCCTCCTCCTCCTCCTTCTCCTCCCCTGCTCTCCCCCCCCGCCTTCTCTACTCTGCCCCTGGTCCTCCTCCTACTCCCCCTCCTCGTCCTGGTCCTCCAAGCTGCTGCTGCTTATGCTCCTTTTTTTTTCCTCTCCATGCGCCTGCTGCCTTTTTTGCCGCCGCGGCCGCTCCCGCGCAAGGAGCTCCGTGCGCCGCGCCGCGCGGGGGCAGGGTGCCCGGGAGGCGTGCCAGGGCGGACGGGAGGAGGACTCGGCGCCGACCGCGCGGACTGCCGAGGCGCACTGCGAGCGGGGGGAGCCTCGCCGGCTGGGCCTCCGTGACTCGCCCGACGCACCGGGGCCACGCGCAGGTCCCCCCGTGCTGCCGGCCCACGGGGTCCCGACGGGCACGCCCCTCGCTTCCCGCCCGTCTCGTCGAGCGCGGGGGGAGCGCGCGACGCGTGCGGCAGCGCGCCGAAGCCCACCAGGCTGCCAGGACTCGAGGTCGCTCCTCGATCCGCGGGGGGCTGGAGCCACGCCCACGCGCGCGCCCAGGTTCTGACCCGAGGGCACCCGCCTCATCAGCACCCTGGGCGGAGCTGGCAGGGCCCAACCGAGGGGCCGCGCCACCTACTTCTGTACAGGGGTGCGGACCCTCCTTTCGCGCTTTCGGCTGTGTCTAGGGCCAAGGACCTTCGCTGTCAGACTCGTGACCGAATCCCGCCTCTGGTGACTCGCACAACGACGTGCTCTAAATCAGGCCTCGCACCTGCAAGCAAAGCGTTCCATAAACCCTGGACCCCAAACACGTTACCATCTATTGGAATCCCGACTTTTACCTACGCTGGCTTGCGCCGGCCTTCCGCCAGCGGAGGCGGCCTCGTCTTACTCCGCCGAGGAAGAGATGTAATCTTCTCGATTCCTCGAAGGCGATGCCCTCTCAGGAATGTCGCAAATAGGACGAGGAGGAATGAGGTATTATGTCTACGAGCGACGAAGAGGCAGGAGGCACAGGGAAGACAGAGGAGGAAAGGGGACGGTAGGGGAGGGAGGAGGGAGGGGCGGAGGAGGTAGGTTGGTCCTACCTACGACCACGCAAGCCTTGGTGAATGATAATTGCCCCCTGTTGAAGGTGGTCGAAACGCTACTCTCTGCGCCGCCAGTCCGCGCATGAGGGGGGGTGGCATTTTGCTGGGGTACTTCCAGTGTGTTGGGTGGCTGGATCGAGAGAAAGCGATTCCCAGGGTCGGTATGCTCCCGAAGAGTCCGAACGACCAGCAAGGGGGAGGGGGTGGAGAGAGGATGCGAGTGGGCAAATGCGGGAGGATGACGAACAGGAGGGGAGGAAGAGGAGGAGGAGATGGAGGAGGAGGAGGAGGAGGAGGAGGAGGAGGAGGAGGAGGAGGCCCAACACCAACACCAATACCAGCAGGGCACCAAAGTCTGAGGTCCCAGAACACCCCGAACACGACACAACAGGAGCAACACTCAACAGCGTGACGAGGCATACCTACTTGCCGCGTCGCTGACCTAGGGCTCCCAACTTCGCGCTTCGCGCTGCGCGAAGCGCGAAGCGCGAATAACTTCGCGCTCTCGCGCCGCCCTCCCAAAGGGAGAATAGGAGGACGAGGAGGAGGAGGAGAAGGAACGAGGACCGCGAAGCGCGAATAACTTCGCGCCCTCGACCCTCCCTGAACACCTGGCCTCCACCGCCTCAGCATCGATGCCAACTGGGACACCCGCTCAGCATCGAGGTCTCCCACCGCCTCGACCTCGAGGCCGTCGAGGCACCACGCCGAGCCCAGCGCCGAGGCCGACTGGGAAGCCCGCGATCCGCGAGAGCGATGGCCCTCCCGACCCCGCGGGGCGAACGTGCGCGAACGACGGCTTTTGCCAGATCCCAGCGACACCAACAGCTGCTCCGCGAACGAACAAGGGCAAGCCATACACAGCATCAAGGCATTGGGTCCTGCCGTCCCGACCAACTGGAAGCCCGCGAGTCGCGCGACCGACGGCCCTTCAGGCCCAGCCGGGCGAACGGCGGCCCCGCTACAGATCAAGTCCGGCCAGCTGCGTGCGAAGATCCGTCCAAATAACTATCCGATCGCGACCGAGGGCGCGGGGAAGGAGGGGTATCGGGAAGGAGGAGGAGGAGGAGGAGGAGGAGGAGGAGGAGGAGGAGGAGGAGGAAGTGGAGCAGGAGGGGGGGAGGAGGAGTGTGGGAGGGGGGAGGAAGGAGGGGAGGAGGGGGAGGAGCAGAACAAGATGGAGGATAAGGAAGGATAAGGATACGCCGCCTCCCACACCCCCAACTGCGTCCGAGGAGGACGAGGGGGGGAGGAGGGAGGGGACGGGGAGGAGGACGAGGAGGCTCCCAGGAAGACGGGGTGGAGGAGGAGGAGGAGGACCCTGAGATCCGATGTCGCCAGAAATCACGACAGGAGTCCTGAACCTCTTTCTTCTGCAGTATTGCTCGAGCCGTATCGCTCCGTGAGGGCCCCGTGGGCCCGGGACAGGAGGGAAACGCCAAGTGCCAACAACAGCTGCGACGCCCAGAGCTCAAGGGAGGCAGGAGGACACGGCCTCCAATAAACCTGAAGGCCATCGACGCACCACGCCGAGCCCAAAATCGAGGCTGACTGGGAAGGCCGCAAGCCTCGCGGACGATGGCGCTCCCGGCCCGCCCAACCGTGCGAAGATGCGCGAGAGTCGGCTTCTGTGCGGCCTCCAGGAATTCCCGACCGCTTCCCCGGGGGGCAAATTTTCGCCCAAACCCGCTCTTGATGGCCATGAGGCCCCACGGCGAGTGAGTGGTTTAGAGAGCCCGCTCTGTTCTCAACCCCCCTTCTTCCCCTTCGGGGAGGGGTTTACCCCTCCCCCTACCCCCTCCCCCTGGACCTGGAGAGGGGGTTTCGCGGGTCGTTGGAGGGGTCTTTTCCGACTCCTGGGAGGGCTAAAAAACGACGACCCTCACGAGGATTCTGGCCCCGACGGGGGGACGGAGATAGGCCCCTCTCCTCTTCTTTGAAGCCAGAATCATTGATTTTACGAAGGTTTTGGCCCCATTTTGGCCTCCTGAGGGGGCCGCGCTCATCTGCCTTCATAGCAAAATCATTGATTTTACGAAGGTTTTGGAATCATTTTGTCCTTCTCAGGGGGCAGCGCTCCTTTGCGCTTCAGAGGAGGTCGCAAAAGGCCCCAAGATGGCCCCAAGAGGCCCTCAGGAGCCTCCCAAGAGCCGTCTTCATTTCTAGAGGTTCCCGAGCTTTTTCTCCCGTTTTCTCGTTAGTTCTTGTGATGTTCTCCTTGACTTCTTCATTCTTCTCTCTCTTCTCTCTCTCTCTCTCTCAGTCCATCCTTCTTTCTTTCCCTCCTCCTCTCCTCATCCGTCTTCTCCCCCCCCCTTCCTTATCCGTTTCCGTCCTCTCTCCCGGTCTCTTTCCCTTCTCCCCCCCAGCCAATGCAATGCAATGCGATGCGATTGCAATGCAGTGCAATGCGACAGCAATGCAATGCCTTTGCAATGGAATACGATTCTCATGCAATGCGATTGCAATGCGATTGCCATGCAATGCGATTGCCAAGCAATGCGATTGCAATGCAATGCGATTGCAGTGCAATGCCAAGTAGAAGAAGGGACTTGCACTCAAGTATCCGGGTGCACGGCGGCGGCAGGGGCTTACACTAAAGTGTCCCGGGGCACGGCGGAGACTTGAGGGAGGGAAGAGGGAGGAAGAGAAAAGGAGGAAGAAGGAAAATGAGGGGAAAGACGTAGAAGAAGGGTGCGAGAGAGGGGAAAGTGGATGCTTTCATCGAAGCAATCATTTCAGCAGTACTTCTGATGATGTCTTGCGGTTCATCTCTCCCGCCTCTCCCCACATCCCTTCGCAATTTGAGTTGCCTTCTTCTTGGCTCCTTAGCCTCGATTGTGCTATTCTTGTTGCTGGCGATTGTACCCTCGACATAAAGTCCAAGACTGCCATGGGGAACCCGCCGTACGGGAGTAAGAAGTACTACGAGAAACTCCAGGCCCAAGCGGATTGCACAAAAAACAAACAAAAAACAACAACCGAAGAACCAAGAAACAAACTCCACCACCCATCGTCTATCCACGGCAGGCGAACAAGGAGCGCTTGGCCACCAAGAGGGCGGTGAACTTCTTGAAAAAGCCCGAGATCAAGAAGGTGGTGCAGAAGGCTGCGCGGGCCGCCGTGGCGCCACTGAAAAAAAGCTCTTGCCGAAGCTCGCAGCAAGGCAGAGCAAGCAACGACCCCGGGGGAAGGTAAAACCCACGACATACCCCCAACCATTACGTTACAAACAACCCCGCTAAAACACAACACATAATTATTATTGCACCCCTGAACTCCCATCCCCCCTCCTCCCCAGGCGGCGCAGCAACCAGCACTACAGGAACCTCTACGGACAGACGACCAGGGCTGACCACTGGATGACGGAGTACAACAAGCTCTACTACAAGCACGAGGCCGCGTCCCTTTGAAAATCTATTTACATAAAGATTTTGAAGTATATGTGAAAACCCGTAGTAACATCACAATTCCACAACACGCCACGTTCAGGCTCTCAAGAAGAGCTACGCCAAGACCAGCTGCGACCTTGGCTCCTCCTTGAAGAACCACGCGGAGCTCGCCAAAGAGCTCCGCGCGTGGAAGAAGTGGTGGGCTAAGCAGTGAGCGGCCCGCCCTTTGCTAACGCCTTGCACGAGAGAGGGCATTCAAAAAATGAATGCCCTTACACAAGTAACAATGAACAGGGTCACCACCACAAGAGACGTTAGTTGCAGATCCCATCAACACAATGTCTGACCTTACGCTCCCATGTATATTCAGAGCAGTGCGCATTACTATGTAAAACCTGACCATCGGTATATAATATAGCCAGTATTATTGTTTTAACTGTTCCGATATAATACGATACCGTGCCGGATTTAATCGTTTAGTTCCTCTCCCCTCCTCCATGCTAGAACCTCTGCGGCGCGAACGTGCAGGTATCGGCGCGGCCCTGCTGGAGAAGAGACTCCAGCAAGGGCCGCGCCACTGTAGCGAAGGTAACCGCGCTCGTTTGCCTGCGAAGCAGGCTCCAAGAGAGAGCAACCCAGCCGAGAGCAGCCCAGCCGAGAGCCGAGAGTATATGGATGTTTTTTTTTGGGGGAATTACAAGCAATGGGCTAAGCCAAGACACATTCGCAGGAAGGACGTGATGACGTACGCGAGAGAGTTCCAGTTTTGGTTTTGTACTAAAAAGGACGATCGTTTGGTCTCGTTTGGTAAAGCTTGCAAAGCATTCAATTAATGTCTGTTAGTGATTTGGCATGCGACGCGCGCGGTTGCCGCAGCACTTTATATAATGAGCTCGTTTGTTTAAGTATCAGACGAGATTTCGCATTAGAATGTATCTTCCAATGGCGCGCCATTGTGGTGAGATTAGTATTTACGCCCGGGGGAATATTGCGAATAGTGCTGTGACCGTTTAAGGTTGCAATTGCACAGGCGTTGTTGCTTGCAAACTGTACGAGGGGTGCGTTTCGAGAGGCCATGCAGTGCGTGAAGAAAGAATCGCTCATCTCTCGCGTGTGTAGTATTCACTTACGTTCGCCATTACAAACCGCCGTCAAGCGGAATTGTGTTGGAGTTCTTTACAGAGAGCATTCTAGCGTAACGTTGAACGCAATAGTTTTTCAGTGTACCTTCTTATAACTAAGAAATCTTATTGTCATTCGCAACAGGGGGGAACCCCATCGTGGCAACCAAGAAAAGTGGAGCTGCCGAGGAAGAAGAGAAAGGGGAAACATAGCGAATAGAATCCTGTTCGAATGCTCCACAAAAGAAATCCTAGTGTAATCCGCAACAGTAGGAATCCTTTGTAATCGCCCACAAAAGGAATCCGATTGAATCCTCCACAAGAGGAATCCTATGGTAAGTCTCCACAAAAGAAACCTTATTGAATCCTCCACAAAGGGGAATCGATTGTAATCCTCCACAAAAGGAATCTTATTGTAATCCTCCACAAAAGGAATTCGATTGAATCTTCCACAAAAGGAATCCGAATGTAATCCTCCACAAAAGGGATCTTAGTGTAATCCTCCACAAAAGGAATTTTAGTGTAATGCGCAACAAAGGGGAGCCTCTTGCGATCGTCCACAAAAGGAACATCCTATTGGAATCTCCAGAAAAAGGAATCCTATTGTAATCTTCCATAGAAAAGGAATCCTATTGAATTCTCCACAAAAGGAATTTTACTGTAATCCTCCACAAAAGAAATTCTAGTGTAATCCTCCACAAAAGGAATCGTATTGTATTCCTCCACAAAAGAAGTTCTATGGAATCCTCCACAAAAGGAATTCTATTGTAATCCGGCACAAAAGGAATCCCATTGTAATGCGCCACAAAGGGGGTCCTTTTGTGGCGGCCAGGAAAAGTGGGGGGGGGGGGGGGGAGGGGGGCGGAAAAATAAAACGTGTTTTTCTTTTTTGTTTCTTCCCCGCCCCCGCCCGTTTTTTTTTTTTTTTTTTTTTTTTTTTTTTTTTTTTTTTTTTTTTTTTTTTTTTTTTTTTTTTTTTTTTTTCTCTTTTTCTCTGCCCCCCCATCTTTCCTGGCCGCCACAAGAGGATTTCCTTTGTGGCGCGTTACAATAGGATTCCTTTTGTGGAGGATTACAATAGGATTGCTTTTGTAGAGGATTTCAATAGGATTCCCTTTGTGGGCGCTTACAAAAGGATTTCTTCTGTGACGTATTACAGTCGGATTTTTTCTTCGCCCTCCCCCTCCAAAAAAATAGGGAGAGTGAGGGAGAGAGAGAGAGAGAGAGAAGGAGAGAGAGAGAGAGAGAGAGAGAGAGAGAGACCGAAGAGGAAATCGAGAGAAAAAACTCGGGAACCTCTAGAAGTGAAGTCGCCTCCCAAGAGGCCCCCAAGAGGCCCCCAAAGGCCCCACGAGGCCCCCAAGAGGCCCCCAAGAGGCCCCCAAGAGGCCCCCAAGAGGCCCCAAGAGGCTCCAAGAGGCCCCCAAGAGGCCCCACGAGGAGCCCGAACGACTCACACCAGGACGAGGGGCCCGAACGACTCACACCACGAAGAGCCGAACGACTCACACCAGGACGAGGCGCCCGAACGACTCACACCACGAGGAGCCCGAACGACTCACACCACGACGCGGGCCCCGAACGACTCACACCACGAGGAGCCCGAACGAGTCACACCAGGAGGAGGGGCCCGAACGACTCACACCAGGATGAGGGCCCCGAACAACTCACACCACGAGAAGCCCGAACGACTCACACCAGGACGAAGAGCCCGAACGACTCACACCACGAAGAGCCCGAACGACTCACACCAGGAAGAAGGGCCCGAACGACTCACACCAGGACGAGAAACCCCAAACGACTCAAATCACGAGGAGCGCTTTCTCTCCCTCCTCCTCCGCCTCGTCCTTCTCCCGCTCCCCCCACAAGGAGGATGTACAAGGAGGCGGGAGGAAGGAGGAACAGGGGAGATATGCGGGGCCAAGCGGACACACGCCTGAAAAACACGACTGTCGGCATGCTTCGCAAGAGTTGCTGCTGTGAGATGGGCTGGTGGGGATACGCGAAGCGTAAAGAATTCTCGCCCAAACCCGCTCTTGATGGCCATGAGGCCCCACGGCGAGCCCTGGAGGCAGAGATCGAGGAAAAGCGCCAGGACATATCATGTGCGTATAGGGATGCGACCGAGGAGTCGATCCTATACAAGGGTCCGTAGGTAGAGGCACAAGAGGATGAGGTTAGCTACTCCTTTTCCTGGGCGCTGCGCGGAGAGCAGCGCACTGTGCATGCCAATGCCAATACCTGAGCCGATACAGTTGCGGTCTGTGACGATGTGATGGGGATACGAGCGGACTTCACACACACATATCATGCCGTCGGAGATCCGAGACGACACGGTCGCGGGGGCCGCGACGTTTCTCCTGCCGGCGGTGTCCAAGCCCCGCCGGCCGGGCGCCGCAGCCACAGCCGTGCGCCACGGCGTGGAGACGGCCGAGAGGCAGCAGGGAGAGGGAGGGGGTTGAGAGGGAGGAGGAGAAAGGAGGAGGAGGAGGAGGAGGAGGAGGAGGAGGAGGAGGAGGAGGAGGAGGGGGAGGAGAAGGAGGAGGATGAGGAGGAGGAGGAGGAGGAAGAGGAGGAGGAGGAGGAGGAGGAGGAGGAGGGAGGAAGGAGAAGGGAGGAGGAAGGAGGAGGATGAGGAGGTCCCCCCTGAGCCCGTCCTCGGGCGAGTACTCGACCTGCTCCTCGAGCGGCCTCTCGCTCAGGCGGGCGAGGGCGCCGCGGTCAACGGCCTCGTCGCAGGGTGCTGGAGTGTGTGTGTGTGTGTGTGTGTGTGTGCCACGCTGGGCGAGGCAAGGGGGATTCGAAAAGGAGGGGGATAGAGGAGGAACATGAGAAGAAGGATGAGGAGAAGGAGGAGGAGGAAGAGGACCGAGGAGGACCAATGTAAACCCAAGACGCAGTAGCGATGTTACAATAATCCTTCCTTCCAAATTCCCTCTTGTGAGGCCCCTACAAGAATTATTTTCATTGCGGGAAGTGGCCCACGATAATATAACCGTCACATAATCCCCAACCGTGCCAAAACACAAATCCTGGGACTTCCACGCCGTGGATCCACGTAACTGTTGCGTCCTGACAACCCTAAATCTTGCCAGAACATCGTTCCTGGGATCTCAACACCACGAATCACTCTGACTGTTGCGTCTGGACAATCCTTACTCGTGCCAAAACACCATTCCTGGGGCTGCAACCATACGAGTCCTCGAACTGTTGCAAGCTTCGTTACGAATGTGCGCGGCGCTTAAGCGAGAACCGCATGTTAAAAGGAGACGCCCTCCATCCATGAAGCTGTTGCAAACTCTTAGAAACAACTGCGAGCGGCGCTAGGGCGAACGCCGCATTTTGAAAACCGCTCGCTCTTCATCAATGAAGCTGTTGCAAACTATTAATACGAATGTGCGCGGCTGAGACGATAATCGCATGTTGAGAAAGAGCCGCCATTCAGCCGTGAAACTGGTGCAACTTTTTAAGGAAATGTGCGCGGCGCGAACGCGAGATCCACATTTTGAAATCGCACGCTCCCCATCAGCGAAACCGATGCAAACTAGTAAAAAGCATTAGTAAGGTGCTCTGGCGAAAACCACACTTGTGGGGTCCACAACCTGGATAATAGCAAGGTGCTCGAAGGGCGTGGAAAGGCCTGGTGAAGAACTCCGGAAAAACCTGGGGAAAATTTCCGAAGGACCTCCTGGAAAGCTTACGGGCACGAAACGCTTGCAAAAGGCATCTCGGGACCCGCTGCAAGTTCAAGCAAGTCGCGCCGAGGTGTTCTGCCGGAAACCGAAACGACCTCCATGGCTACCCTGCGGCTCCGGCTTCTTTATCTGTAACCTTCTTAGCTCTCCAAAGAGCTATCTGGGAATTTTGAAACGGACGCTCCCTCCCTCCGCGATTCAGTTGCAATGTTTTATAAAACTTGTGCGCGGCGCTACATCGAAAAACACATTTTGAAATCGGCCCGTACTCATTCCGGGAAACTGTTGCGAACTTTTAAAACGAATGTGCGCAGCGCAAAAGCGAGAACGCCATTTTGAAAACGACCGGCTCTCCATCCTTGATGTTTTTGTGAATTTCAAGCTTCAAGATCATACGTAGTTAGGAAATCTCACGCGAAACGTCTGGCCCACCGTACCGACACGTCTGCGGGTGCTACAGGGGGACCTGTTAAGGAGAAGCGATGGAGAGATTTGTGGGCTAATGTAAACCTAAAACTCATCAGCGATGTTGCAATACATCATCCCTCCAACTGCCCTCCTCGTGGATCCCTGTCCAAAAACATTTCACTGAAAACAATGCCCGTTGGAAGACAAACCTTTGAACATCTGGAACCGCGCCATAGCACCATTCCTGGGATTTCAACGTTGCGAATCAACCTTGCTGTTGCGTCTTGAAGATCCGGAACCGTTCTAGAAGACCGCTCCTTGGATCAACACCGCGAATCAATATGACTGTTACCGCCTGACAGTCCTACGTCCAGCCAGAGCACTATTTCTGGGACGTTAGGTATGAGAATGATGCTGTAATTTATTCAGACGATTGTGCGCGGCGCTCAATCGAGAACCGCATTTTGAAAATGGCCCACCCTCAATCCGTGAAGCTCTCGCGCATTTCCAAAACAAATGTGTGTGGCGCTGAGGGAAGATCCACATGTTGAAAACCACCTGCCCGCCATTCGTTCAGCTCATGCAAATCTGTAAAACGCATGTTCGCGGCGCTAAGGCGATAACCACATGCTGAACAGTCGGCCTCAATTCGTGCAGCTCTTGCACATGTTGACAACGAGTGTGCGCGGCGTTAAGGCGACATCCGCATTTTGAAAACGGCCCGCCCCCAATCCGTGCAACTCATACATTTTTTTGGAACGAATGTGCGCGGCGCTGAAGCGATAACCATATTCAGAACATGATCGACCCACGAACCCGGAAAGGAATGTAGAACTGTAACACATGGCAGCGTTTTCAAAGACACCTGATTGGGTGACGGGCAAATGCAATACTGAAGGTATCGATCTTGATGTACCCTGCCGAGGGCTGTGCTGTGCTGCGCCGTGCTGAATTGCGATGTGCCATGGCGCGACTGTGCTCTATAGCCTCGTGGATCGAGTCCTCCTTTGCATCCGAGTCCTGACCGAACTGATCTGGATCTTAAGCTCGAGCTGCCTGAACACATAGTAGCTGCCCCAGAGCTAATGGACAGGGGAACATGCCAGGAGGACGCGCCGCGAAACGTCCCAAGGGATGCGCCAGGCGACGTGCCAGGGGACGTGCCATGGGGTCGCACCGCGGGACGTGCCAAGGGGACGCGCTACGGAACGTGCCAATGGATGTGCCACGGGATGTGCCAGGGGACGCGCGACGCGACGTGCCAGGGGGACTCGCCAAAGGACGCCCCACGGAACGTGCCAAGGAACGTGCCAAGTTGCAATGCTGAGTGCATCGACCTTGATGTACCGTGCCGAAATCAGTGCTGTGCTGCGCCGTGCTGAATTGCGATGTGCCATGGCGCGATTGTGCTCTATAGCCTCGTGGATCGAGTCCTCCTTTGCATCCGAGTCCTGACCGAACTGATCTGGATCTTAAGCTCGAGCTGCCTGAACACATAGTAGCTGCCCCAGAGCTAATGGACAGGGGAACATGCCAGGAGGACGCGACGCAGAACGTCTCAAGGGACGCGCCAAGCGACGTGCCAAGGGACGTGCCATGGGGACGCACCGCGGGACCTGCCAAGGGGACGCGCTACGGAACGTGCTGGGGACAAGCGTTTCGCTCGAGACATCCTGTCAAAATCATTTGAATTCCTACGCGCGGGACGCTGCACGCGCGAGACATCCTCGGAATTCCTGCGAGCGGGACGTGAAAACAAGCATTTCGCCTGAGACATCCTTTGAATTCTGGCCCCCCACGAGGCCACCGCTCGAGACATCCTCCAATTTTGCAAAACCAGCGTTTCGCTCGAGACATCCTCAACAAATTATGAAAAACAAGCGTTTCGCTCGAGACATCCTGTCAAAATCCCAAGAAATCCAAATACCCGCGCGCGGGACGCGGCACGCGCGAGACATCCTTGGAATTCCTGCGCGAGGGGCGCTTTTCCGTGTCGCGGTCGGCTCTGCAAAACCAGCGTGTCGCTCGAGACATCCTCAACAAATTCTGAAACCAAGCGTTTCGCTCGAGACATCCCCAACTCTGCAAAACCAGCGTCTCGCTCGAGACATCCTCAACAAATTCTGAAAAACAAGCGTTTCGCTAGGGACATCCTCAATTTTTAATTCGCCGGCCCTACGCGACCTCGTTATTTATCGCAAAAGAAATTCGCCGGCCCTACAACCGTCAAAACCGGGGGGAAACCAACTAAAAGAGAACCCTGGGCTCAGGCCCTTTCCGGGAAAAACATCGCCCTCAATCCGTGCACCTCTTGCAATTCGTTTGAAAAGAATGTACACGGCGCTCAAGTGAGAACCACAGTTTGAAAATTGCCCGCCCTATAGCCGTTCAGCTTTTGCAAATTTTGGAAGCGAATGTGCGCGGCGCTTGGGCGAGAGCCACATTATGAAAGCGGCCCGCACTCAATCGGCCAAGCTCTTGCAATTGTTCATACGAGTGTGCGCGGCGCTCAAGCGAGAGCCACGCTTTGAAAATCACTCGCCTTCACTCCGCGAACCTCATGCAATGTCTTAAAATGTTTGTGTGCGGCGCTAGTTCAAAGACCAAATGTTTAAAGCGACCCGCTCTCCATGTTTGAAGCTGTTGCACATTTTTGTAAGTTTCAATATCATGAACAAGCATGAAGTCTCAAACGAAACGCACAGCCCGCCCTACCGACCAGCCTCGAGGTGCGACAGGGAGGAATTATCTAGAAGGAAGGAAAATGGAGGAGGAGAATCGAGCAGGAGGGGACCCCAGCACGGATGACGACGATGATGATGATGATGATGATGATGATGATGATGATGATGATGATGATGATGATGATGATGATGATGAGGATGATGCTGATGATGATGATGCTGATGATTAGCAAGCTGATGAGGCTGATGATGATGCTGAGGCGGATGCTGATGACGATGATGCAGAGGAGGGGGAGGAGGAGGAGGAGGAGGAGGAGGAGGAGGACACTGGAGGAGGACACTGGAGGAGGACATTGGAGGAGGAGGAGGGGGAGGAGGAGGAGGAGGGATGGGCTGGAGAAAGGGAGAGGCGGGGGTAGGGCAACGGGGGAAGCTGGCGGGGCGACAAGCGCGACGACCGACAACGGAGCCTCTCTGCACGCACCAGACAGGTCGCCATCGGCTCGGCCTCTTCCTCCTCCTTCCCCGTTTGCTGCTAACTCGTCGTCGTCGTTGTCCTCCTTCTCCTCCTCGTTCTCCCTATCAACCTCCTCTTCCTCGCTTTACAGTTGCTGGGCGAAAACACTACTGTCCTCTCTCCTCTAACAGTGCCCCTGTGTGCTGCCGCCTGCCTCGCGGATTATTTCCATACATGATGTCGGACACTGGTCTGATCTGTTCATTGCTGTTGTTGCTGCTGCTGTTGTTGTAACATGGCTGATCTCCCATTCTAATTAATAACTATTGTTGATCCCTCCTCTGGTGACCATTATACTTTTCAATCAAAGTGCTCCTCCCAGGGCTCACGAGAAAGTGAAGTTCCACCAAACTGGGTTGTTGGACCCCCAATTTTAAAACTGTTCGATGCTATCTGCTCGCGTGCCACTCAAAACGTATATCCCA